CATTGGAGAATCGGAAGCTTGTTTTTGGTTCTTTCTCTGGTGATGCTACTCAAAGCCTTAATGGCAACTCTAATCTGGGATCTGCTAAACATCATCACCAATCCCTTGTCTCGAATTCTAACACGGATCCAAACTTGTCTCATCGTCGGAATCATGAGTTCCATGAGCAAAGAGGAGGCTTTAGCGGAAGAGGGAACTGGGGTCCAATTGGGAATAACGGACGGGGTTTGAAGTCTAGTACTACTACTCCTCCTCCTGGGTTTTCGAGTAATCAACGAGGATGGGATTTGGGAAGTAAGGATGATGATAAAGTGATTGGGAGTTTCCAGAGAAGTGTTGATAGACCGAAGGGGGAGCATTCTAATTTATGGGATAAAAGTGTTGATTTAAGTGTTGAGGAAGATAGATTAAGGAGGTTATCTATCCAGAATGAGAAAAGGTTCAATCTTAGTCAACAGACTGATCACCCTGGACCACCTAAGGGTACAAGTCTACATTCTGTGTCGGCAGCTGATGCCGAGGATTCCTTTTCGATGTTGAACAAGGAAGCTCGTGGTGGAGCTCGATATAAAGAGGAATTGGGGAAGTTCAGTAAGGGAAAAAGGGAAGGTAATGGGGAGTTTGGCCCTGGTGATGACGGAATTCAGGATTTTGGAGAAGATATCGTTGAGTCTTTGTTGCTTGAAGACGAAACTGACGATAAGGATGCCAAAGATGAGAAGAAGAATAGCCGGGCTTCTCGCGAGAAGGTAAGTTTCAGTTTGTGGTAGATGATATAGCTCAATCAACAGTTTTAATATACTACTATTGGCTTGTTGGGAACATACAATGATGGTGTTTAGCTAGTATAATTTATTCCTGGACTAAAAACGATGCTTTTTTGGGTTGGAAAGATTGTTGAAGTTGTGGTTTTTGTTCTCAGGAATCAAGAATGGACAATCGTGGTCAGTGGCTGCTTCCCCAAAGGTTAAGAATGGCTAATAGGTATATGGCATGTAGGAATGACATCCACAGGTATGATGCTCCTTTCATGGCAGTGTACAAGTCTCTGATTCCTGCAGAAGAGGAGCTGGAGAAGCAGAGACAATTAATGGCACAGCTAGAGAACCTAGTTGGAAAAGAATGGCCTCAAGCAAAGTTGTATCTTTACGGTTCATGTGCGAACTCTTTTGGGTTTCCCAAGAGTGACATCGATGTCTGTCTTGCAATCGAAGATGATGATATCAACAAATCTGAGATGTTGTTAAAGCTGGCGGATATTTTGCAATCTGATAACCTCCAAAATGTGCAGGTAGATTAAATGATTATACCTGATGATTAGGTGTTTAATACGCCTTCGTTAGCTATGAATTTCGTGACTATATTTTGTAACTTTTTCTTGTGTAGGCATTAACGCGAGCTAGAGTGCCAATAGTAAAACTTATGGATCCTGTTACTGGGATATCTTGTGATATCTGCATCAACAACGTGCTGGCGGTTGTAAACACAAAACTCTTGCGAGATTACGCGCAGATAGATGTGCGGTTAAGGCAATTAGCATTCATTGTGAAACATTGGGCCAAATCAAGAAGGGTCAATGAAACTTATCAAGGAACACTTTCCAGCTACGCGTAAGTTTTCCTCCATGCTTTAAATGAATGTTGCTTTCGATTGCCTGAAATAATCTAATGACTTCTTTTATGAAAATTTTGCAGGTACGTTCTGATGTGCATTCACTTCTTACAGCAGCGTAGGCCTCCGATCCTCCCTTGCTTACAGGTTTGTATAATAATATATCCTTGTGTGTAATGTAACGAATGTTCTTGTTTCATCAGGGTTTTTCACTTGGTGCAGGAAATGGACCCTACATACTCAGTTCGGGTTGATAATATCCGCTGTGCGTACTTTGATAATGTCGACAGACTCAGTAACTTCGGAGCTAGTAACAGGGAGACCATAGCTGAGCTGGTTTGGGGGTTTTTCAATTACTGGGCATACGCTCACGATTATGCGAATACTGTTGTATCCGTCCGCACTGGTTCCATACTTGGGTAAATTCACTCTCCATTCTAGAGATGAAATCTGTGAAGCAAAATACTGAGAGATGAAATATGAATTTGTGTGTGTTTGTTTGTTTGTTGCAGGAAGCGAGAGAAGGACTGGACAAGAAGAGTTGGGAACGATAGGCACTTGATATGCATAGAGGATCCATTTGAGACCAGCCATGATCTTGGTCGGGTCGTGGATAAGTTTAGCATCCGAGTGTTGCGGGAAGAGTTTGAAAGAGCTGCGAAGATTATGCATCAAGATCCTAACCCATCTGCCAAGCTTTTCGAGCCATATCTTCCTAGAGACATTTAACTTTCTAAAATTAGTTGTGTGGCTTGTATATATATATATTTATGGTTAAGATTCGTTCTTTCTCCTTTTTGTTTTGGTTGTTTTGGATTCTTGTTTGTGACCCAACAAAAAAAAAGTCTTCATTTTGAAGCTTTTATGTGATCTGTTTCACCATTCTGGTCATGTCTCTGCTCCTTTCATAGCCGGATATGTATGTCTCTGTTTCACCATTCTTATTATGTGTATGGCTTGTTTACTAATTAGAGGTAAAACGGAATTTTACAAATGAGTTTTTTTTTTTTTTGGTAAAAGTTGAAAATATATTACCAAAAGAAACGGTTACAGATGTTTTCCAAGACATAAGTCAATTGGGGTACGACAAAATAGACTCACATCAAAAAAAGCAAGGATAGATAAAGTAGCTGTGGAAGATCATAAGAGTACAAAGGAGGAAAGCATTACAAGACAACCTAGAAAAGGAGATAGAGAAAGAGGGTGGATCGTGGAGAAGAAGGTTGAAAGGTTTAATTTGATGGATGAAAGTAGCGGAACCAGAGAACTATGTTGGAGTCTTCGGTTTGTGGCAACCTTGATCTCACATTAGGCTGGTCCATGATATACAGTTTGTTTCTTATTGTCCTGGAGACTTCAGCAACAATAGAGGATGATGTTCGGCTTGAAGATCCGAAGAGACGACTGTTACGCTCGCACCACATAGCGTAAACGCACACTTGGAAAGTGAGCTTAACAATTTTGGAGATACGGCGAGGAAGTGAAGGGATCCAGTGCATGATCGAGTCGAAAGCCAGAGGGAAGGGATGGTACGATTGTGAGAAAGCAGACCATATATCTTGGCTGAAAGAACATGAGAAAAATAGGTGAGAACGTGTTTCAATGGAAGCAGAGCAAAAGTAGACAAGAATAGTCAGTTGTTACTACCCAATTATGAAGACGATCTCGTGTGGTTAAGCGATTCAGCACGGAAAGCCAAGTAATGAACGCATGTTTCGGAATGTTCCGGTGAACCAAACCGAAGAATGCCAAGAAACCATGGGACCAAAATCATTCAGAGCTGACCAAGTGTAGGCGGTGGTGAAAAGAAGGGGTTGGTCGTAGTTTGTGGACCAAAAGAAAGTGTCCTCCGTAGCAGTATTAGTTGGAGGTGATAGTAAACTGACCGCGTTCCTTAGGTTACTACGACGAGAGGCTTGAGAGGAAACAAAGCACCATTCTTCATCAAATGCAGCCTGTGCCACCCTAGAATCAAAGGGAATACCTAGTAGTAGAGGACCAGAGGGATCCGTATACTTCAAAAGAGGACCAAGATGGGACCAAGTATCATGCCAAAATGATGTACGATTCCCATTTCCAATGGAGGACTTAAGGAAGATTGCTACTTTGGGTCGTAATTTGAAAAGTTTCTTCCAAAACCAAGAGCCTCGAGAGTCATTCAAAGTCCAGAAGATCTTAGTGGTGATCAAATTTTGCCAGACCCAACTCACCCAAAACGAACCACTTTTGGTGAAGATCAACCAGATAAGCTTTAGTCCAAAGATTTCATTCCAAGTAGAGAGCTTCCTCAGCCCAAGTCCACCATGTTAAATGGGTTTGCAGACTGCATCCCAAGACACTTTTACTCCATGAGCTGTACCCGGTTTTCCATGCCATGAAAATGAGCTAATCAGAGCCTCTAACTTGACCAAGAAGGCTTTAGGGAAAAGAAATGCAGGGAACCAAAAGTTTAGGTGACCATAAATGACAGATTTTATCAGTTGGAGACGCCCTGCATAAGAGAGGAACTTGTTTGACTACGCAGATAACTTCCTTGAGATTCGATCATAAAGCGTTTGAAAATCATCCTTATCCAGCTTTGTCGAATGCAGAGGTAGTCCGAGATAACGATCAGGGAAAAAACCCAGAGAAAGACCATGATTGACAGCAATTGCAGTTGTAAGCTGATGGTTGTTCCCGCTAAGGAAGAGACTGGTCTTGTGTTTGTTTAGAGCTAGGCCGGAGATGACGTAGAATTCATCAAGGGTCTGAATGATCTT